GGTGGTGGACAGGGAAGCCTGGTGTGTTGCAGTCCGTGGGGTCACAAAGAATCAGACACGACTGAGCGACTGAACAAGACTCAGCATCCAACTGACAACTGCCAAACAGGAAGACTCTCTGAAGACAGTATAGACAACATCTTCCACCCAGGAGGAGTGAGGGATGAATTCAGGTATAAAAAGGACTAACTCTAAAGACATATTCTCTTCATCAAAAGACTCTAAAGAGAGGGCAAGGTGAATCGCAAGCCAGAGCAGTTATTTGCAACGCACAGACCTCTGGTGTGCGTCTGTGATGCGGGTTCAGAGTGACGTGTGGCCTTGTCATCTAACTGCATTGAGAGGGCCTTGACCGGACTCCTGAACCCCTCTCACCACCCCAACTGACAGATCCTTCTTGCCACCAATCAGGTTCCCTGAACTAAACAAACCTCCTTACTGGGGGCCCCCAGGCCACTTACTGCTCATCCTGGAAGTGGGCTTCAGTGCCCTGCCAGTCAGGCACATCGTGTGTGGGAACCGAGGGGCGCCCCCTCTTGTTACCCCCAAACCACCCCTGCTCTGCTCCCCGGTGCAGCCCCCACGTGTGCCTGCGCGACGCAGAGCACCCTCCTCCCTGGGACTGTGAGCCCATGTGACTGACCCACTGTCAGCCTCACTTGTCCAGCATTGGGTGCGGTGTGTCTGGCCATCGCTGTCACCTTAGGGCAGAGTGACTAGGAGGCAATTATTAATAAAACAGCACCCGACAGAACACGGAGCGAGTGCTCACAAATTACTGCACGGAAGACCCAGACCATCTAGTCGGAAAAGAGCAAATACTTGAACGAGGTTGTCACAAGAAAGGAAAGTCAATGGCTGACCAAGTACATGAAGACAGTCACACCAACAACAGGAGGGAAAGCAAAATTTCAAGATTTCTTCTCACACTAGACTGACAAAAACTGACAGCTCTGACAGTATCAAGTGCTGGTGACAAGGAGCAGCAGGAATTCTCCACCCCCGCTGATGCAGGGTGCAGCGGTGCCGTCACCCAGTAACAGTGACCAGTCGCCACCCCACGAGCCGTCGATCTCATACACGGTCAGCTCTCTGAGGGACGCCACAAATGTCCATTAGGAAACACAGTCAGACATCCACAGACGCTCTTTTTCAGAGCTCCACGCTGGCCTGGGGGCAGGGATTGTAGCAGGTGCCCACGGCAAGGACGACAAACCAACGCCGGCCACTCTGGACGGTGTGAGATGGACAAACACACCACAGCCACAGCAAAGCTAAGCGAGGGGAGAGGTCACTGGAGAACACGTTCCATGGCTCTGTCTCCATGGAGATAAACCAAAGGTCATGCTCAGCGACAGTGGTTAATGACGAATGAACAGAAAAGCTGGTAGAACAGTCTTCCCTGGTGGTCTAGTGCTTGAGAGTTTGCCTGCCAGTGCAGGGGATATGGGTTTGATCCCTGATCCGGGAAGATCTCCCGTGCCGTGAAGGAGCTAAGCCCATATGCAGCAACTACTGAGCATGTGCTCTAGAGTCCGAGGGCTGCAACCTAAGCCTGTGTACCTATCACCTGTGCTCTGCAATAAGAGAAGCCACGACGAAGAGAAGCCCGTGTGCCCCAATAAAGACCCAAAAATAAATAGTTAAAAAACAAGCTGGCAGAGCGGCAGAGAGGAACAAGGACAGGATGATCTGGGAGTGGCCATCTCTACGTGGTGGATGATGTATCAGGAAAGGAGCAGAGAAGAACTTCTGTGGGCCTGGTTGGGCTGTCTGTCTTACCCCTGGGGACTGCTACATGTGTGCTGACACTCACTTTATCATTAGTTTAAAACCAGAATATATGTTTTACACGTACTTCTGCATGCATGATAAATACAGATCAAAAGGCAGAGAAAAGTCAAACAAGTCTAAAGCTGCCCTGGACCCTTTTCACCTAGGATCAAGTCTGATGGGCAGCCACACCTCCTTGCTGGGCCTTTGCCTAGTCAGGGTACCCTCCCAGGTCCACCCTGACCTGGAGCCACCGAGACAAGGTGACCTGGACCAGGTGGACTCTCCTGGCAGGTAAGGGCAGGTGGAGGTGGAGAAAGAGGGCCAAGGGATGCTTCCTCGAAAGCGCTGCATCTTGTGGTATCATGAGTCAGGTGCTCTGTCTTCCTTCTCTGTGACCTCTTCACCCTGCTGTGGCCCCTGCCCCAGGACCTTGACCCCATAGTCCACTTTGACCTTGCACTTCTGGCCAGGGCTTTCACTTGTACAACCAGCATTACTGTTGCTGTTCAGTTGTTCAGTCGTGTCTGGCTCTTTGCAACCCCATGGACCTCAGCATGCTGGGTTTCCCTTTCCTTCACCATCTCCTGGAGCTTGCTCAAACTCATGTCCATTGAGTCAGTGATGCCATTCAACCATCTCATCCTCTGTCATCCCCTGCTCCTCCTGCCTTCAATCTTTCCCAGCATCAGGGTCTTTTCCAATGAGTCGGCTCTTTGCATCAGGTGGCCAAAGTATTGGAGTTTCAGCTTTAGCATCAGTCCTTCCAATGAATAGTCAGGATCGCTTTTCTTTAGGATTGACTGCTTTGATATCCCTGTAGTCCAAGGAACTCTCAAGAGTCTTTTCCAACACCACAGTGGGACTTGCAAAATGATCAAGGCTTTCTCTCACTCTCTCACTGAAAAATGTTCCAATGTACTGTTCCTCAAAGCAGATGTGAATGGCCATCAGGATGCTGCTTCACAGTGTGAAGCCAAATGTACGCCAACCTTCCAGTTATTTTAAAAGGGACAGAAGATGGGTGAATTTTCTGGAGTTACAAGGGAAAACTTAAAGCCACCATTCATGAATTAATCTAATCAAATCATATTTTCTGAAGACATGACTAGCCATTGACTGTTTAAAACTTGCAATTTTTTTTATACATAAAGGAAAGATCAAGTATGAAGATTATATACCTAACTGCCATCTGATAAGTGACAATAAAATATTAACTCTACCTTTTTTTAAAAAAGAAAATAATTCATAAAGATGACTCTAAATTGCCCCATAATGTCAAATCAGAAGAATTCCCAATCAACTAAGTCCCCTCTGACACACATGGCAACTCAGTCATCAGATATTACCAAGAGCAGAAAGCAGAACAGTGCAAATCCTGTTTCACCAAATGGCTCTGGGCGCAACCCCAGGCCACTCTGGAGGCAACATGTCTTTACTTTCCATCAGCTCCTCTCGCTGCTCAATCCTGTCCACTCAAGACAAAACCCAACTCCCTCCGAAGAAGCCCCCCATCTCCTCAGATCAGCCCAAAGAAACCATGCAGATTTCACTGGGTCTCATCACTCCTTCCCTGGTGGCTCAGAGAGTAAAGAATCCACCTGCAATAAGGAAATGTGGGTTTGAGAAGATCCCCTGGGGAAGGGAATGGCAACCCACTCCAATATTCTCACCTGGAGAATCCCACGGACAGAGAAGCCTGGTGGGCTACAGTTCAAGGGGTTGCAAAGAATCAGACATGACTGAGCATGCAAGCACGCACATGCGTGCGTGCACACACACACACATCACTACTCCAGCCTGACCCAAAAACCAAGATGAAAATGCATTCCTGACTCCTGAGGGCTGAGTGAGAACCAGCCTCTTCCAAGGGCTCTGGGGGGAGACAACTCCCAGCCTCATACACCCTGGACATGGGCTGAACCACAATGTCAGGCGGATTTGGAGTGATGCAAAGGCATCTGCCTTGCAAAGTGAAAAATGCTGGGCCACCACACGCAGTGACCTGCAAAGGAAAATCATGGACAGTGGCTTTGGTCTCCACCCAGCATCATCAGCAGAAGGGGGAATGGCTTCTGAGTAAAAGCATGACCCAGGACAATGTGGGGTTCTGACCATTAGCAAAGCTGGGCTTAGCACCCAGGGGGGCGAGCTGCCTACAGAGCAAGGCCATGGCGCTCCCAGGCAGGCACGGCTAAGGAGTGGCCACCACGGTCCTCCAGTATCATCCCAGCCCATGATTTCCCATGACCAGAACCCCAGGGCTGGCTGCTACGCGCCCCCCTACCCGCCGCCCCCCGTCAGTGTCCTAGCCATACAACCACCTGGGAGGAGACAGAAGAGATGATATTTTATCCTTTAGTCACAAAGGATGCTCCTGATACAGCGTGCTTCCAGGCCAGACTCTGGGAATAAACGATGGTGTGGTGGGAGGTGGGAGGCTGGCCGGACACCCTACCCCAGGGGCCCTCCAGCAGTTGAGTGCTGCTCTGTGAGTAAGAGCATCCTGATGCAGGTACCAGAGAGCCGGAGAGGCTCAGGAGGAGAGGAGGGGAGGATGAGGGAAGAAGGGAGGAAGAGGGGAGGGAGAGAAGGAGGGAGGGGGAGAGAGAAGCGAGGAGTGCCCATGGCACCGCCCCACTCCATGCCCCAAGTGGCTCCCTGGACTGCAGAGCTCGCCCTTCTGCCCAGATCCTCCTTGTCCCCCAAGGTCCTCCTGGCCCAACATCTTCCAAGAGTATTTCACTGCCCCCACCCCCACAGTCATCCCTGTCACTGAAGCCTTGCCACTAGCAAGTGTCACACATACTGCATCCCAGGCACATCTCCAGGGATCCCCAAACCCCGCCCCATCTCCAGCCATCTGGTGCACACTCCTACACCTGCCCCCGGGGGACCCTATCTTCCTCTGCAGGTGTCCATCAGCCACCACAGAGGCTCTGAGCTCTGGCAACTGTGTCGTGGGCGCGTGGCTTCCAGGCGGTTTCCGGTACAGTGGAGGGTGGGGACTCACCATGGCCCCTGTTTCAGGTCTTACTCACTCCAGGACGACACAGTCCTGCATCTGCCCTTTGTCTGGAAGCACCTGGGGCTAGGCCTTGGCCTGGTCAGGACTCCTCGACCCTCCTCATACACAGACCCTGCAGACCCACAGCGCCCCAACTTTGAGACCTGAATGGGAATGAGGATCACACATACTGGCAAAGGCTGTCTGGGCAGAAACTCACCGGTAAGTGCCCAAGGAGAGGCGTGATGCTGTCAGAAACATAGAGGATGCTGCCATCTGTCGTCACGGCGATGATGAAGCCATCCAAGGCCTGCGAAAAATGCAATAGGTGAAGGCTCTTCCGTCATGCTTTCATGCAGGAGGGGATCACTGAAGCCAAGGACCCTGGGTTACAACAATGACTTCGTTTCATAACTCTTTGAATATTTCCATGGCTAACCTCACAGCACTTTTTTTTTTGTCTTGCACACAAGTGGGTTTCTTACATAGAACTTGTCTAACCCAGATGAAATGGTTGCAAAGCATGAAAGGGCCTAGTGGAAAATGGGACCTACGGTATCATGAAATAAATTCAGCGGTAGAAATTACCTGAGTACATTTACTGATAAGTGTGCATTTGGGCTGAATCAGAAATATCACAATTGCCATTAAAAGGTGTCAGTGAAGAGTTCACGATCCCTGTTCTCCATCCCCATTACCACTGTGAATTCAGTGGTAAGCATTTACTAAAAGATACAGGAGCTCACGGGCTTCTCCCATGGTGGTATCAGTGGCAAAGAATCTGCCTGCCATCTCAGGAGATGCAAGAGACATGGGTTCGATCCTTGGATCGGAAGATCCCCCAGAGAAGAGAATGGCAATCCGCTCCAGTATTCTTGCTTGGAGAATTCCATGGACAGAGGAGCCAGGCAGGCTACAGTCCATGGAGTTGAAAAACAGTCAGAATGACTGAGCGGCTCACACACACACACACGAGCTCACAGAGGCATTAAAAGCAGAAACTGTGCCTGCTGGTCCATTGCCACAGAAAGACCTTCTGAAGGAACTCTTTACAAAGAACATTCACATTAATCCACCAAAGGGAAAAGTAAGGGCTGATGGGGAAAGGCTGGGTTACTCGACTAGATCCACAAGAGCAGTCATCCCTCAGTGTCCATGGGTAACTGGTCCCATGACCCCTGCAGACACCAAGTTCCAAAGATGCTCAAGTTCCCCAGAGTTGCCCGTGTATCCATGGGCCCTGCATTCTGGGATTCAGCCAACCGTGGGTGTGAAACCCACAGACATGGAAGGCCAACCATATTTCAGCATGTCTGGAAAATTCATTTGCTTAGAAGTTTTGACCGAGTGCCTGCCGTGGGTTAGATGCACTGCCCTCAGAGCTCATGAGAGAAAAGATACGGGCCCTAGTGTCTTCTCACAGATCCACCGGCTGTTTGGTGTTCGGGTTCCTAATCAGGTGCTCACAATGCTTTCATAAGTCACACAGAAAGGTGATTTCTAAAACTCAGACTGTCCAGCAGAGAATGGGGTCATCCGGGCAACTCACAATACTGACCTGCCATGGAAAGGGAAGAGATGAAAAACAAAACCTTTCTCCCCCAAAACAAATATTCGAGGACATAAGACGCTCAGGCAGGCGGTTGCTGTAAACTATCACTGCTGCCTCACTGACTGTACTGTTGAAATAGCATCTTGCACAAATGTGTGGATTTTTCTACTTTGAGGGAAAAAATTCCCAAAGTGAAGTATGTGTTTAGAAAGTTTTGGAAACATTTTGTATACCCTCAGCTCGATCTTCCCAGGGTGTTGCTGATCTTCTGTGCAGCCAAGAGGGCATGGATTCTTTCAGGGTAGGAGGATGCGGCTAAGTGCCTGGCAACAGGAGCCAGAAATAGTCCAGAAGTGTGCGGAGAAGGGTACCACCATCAGCATACACCACCATGGGAGAGAGCTCTTTTCACTGGGAAAATTACTACTAGGATCACTGACTATTTAATACTCAGGTTCTGCAGGATTGGGAAGAATCCCCTGGAGGAGGAAATGGCAACCCACTCCAGTATTCTTACCTGGAGAATACCGTGGACAGAGGAGCCTGGTGGCCTATAGTCCATAGGGTTGCACAGAGACAAACATGACTGAAGTGACTTAGCACATGGCACACACTGCAGGATTTAAGACTGAAACATCTATTAAAGCACATTTCTTAAGTGGACCCCATTCTCTTTGATTATGTGTGTGGTTTTCAACTGGGGACAACTCTGCCCCATTGGGGACATCTGGCAATGTCTAGAGACCTTTCTGGTTGTTGCTTCTGGGGCGGGCACTGTTGGTATCTAGTGGGTGGAGGCCAAGGATGCTTTGAAACATCCCATCCACAATACACAGTATGTCCCTACCACAAGGAATGATCAGGTCCAAAATGCTAATTGGGCTGAGGTGGAGAAATCTTGGACCAGATTTACCAGTCATCATGAACATCAAAGTAGATCCTGCCGTTGTGTTCAGTTGCTCAGTCATGTCTGCCTCTTTTGAGACCCCATGGACTGTAGCCCGCCAGGCTCCTCTGTCCTTGGGCTTCTCTAGGCAAGAATACTGGAGTGGGTTGCCATTTCTTCCTCCAGAGGATCTTCCTGACTCAGGATCGAAGTCGCATCACCTGCGACTCCTGCATCAGCAGGAGGATTCTTTACCTGCTGAGCCACCTGGGAAGCCCCAATATTCTGGTGACCTTTATTTCTTTTCCACTTAAGTATTTTTTCTAAATTAAAAGAAATCATATTAGCAGCGCTCCTGGAGGTGAATTTTTCTAAGAGGTGGAGGCATTGTGGATGACATCAGCGGGACGGTTTTGGAAACAGCAGATTGAAATACTGGGAAAAGCAGGAGCAGTCTAAATTCTCTTCTTGCACAGTGAGCCCATGCCCTCTTGAATTTATAAAGCAAGTGGGTGTTAAAAAGCAGGAGGTATTTATGGATGGAAGATAACGTTCATCAGCCCATTGGCATTTTCCATCAGACGCATGAGGATTACGCTGAGTCACTGCGTTAAGAGCGCTTGTGATGGTTTCAGAAGTCCCACTGGCAACATTTGAGAGTGACTCAACAGGACATGGTTAAAAAGTAGTGTGCCCCTCCTGTTGAAATGGGGACTCTGGCAGGACCTTCAGTGGACACCCGAGATTCCATAATGGCCCAAGTTTCACACCTGCCACACACCAGAGGGAAACGAGATGACACCTCTCTGCCAATCCCTGGTTCTGACAGAATGTTTCTTGTCTTCTCTGGGACAACCTCTGGTCTAAAAGAAAAGATGGCTGTAGCTTTTCTGAACAAAATTCATAAATACTGCATATCCCGTAACTGCCTGTCAATGAGAGTGTCCCTTCCTTTGAATTTACTTGTTCTAACGCTTGTGGCTACCATCTTGGGCAGCTTTCACTCGACCAGCTCGGCTGGCTGAGACCAAGTCGCTTTCATTCTTTCCAGTCCCACAATGGTATGAGTTTTCCTGGAGTCTGGTTTGGGGCCTTTTTGGGAGAAGAGGAAGGAAGCAGGGATTCACACTCAGAAGACACCAGCAGTGCCATTCCCTGGGGTCTGACGGGCTCTGTCCTGGGTTTCATCTTCATTTTAAAAAGGAAACTCCTAGTTATGAAGACATGGCATCTGGATTCCTCATGCTCCCTGAAGTGGCTCTGAACAAAGGAGGGGGATGTGCAGCTGAGATGGGATGCATACCATGGAGAAGCTGCATCCTGGAAAATGAGAGCATCATCCCATGGGGACCATCGCAAGGAAGGCACAGGAGGCTCCTGTCACCCTTCACCTGGTCGTGTCTCCTGAGGAGCAAAAGGGTGGAAGAGGAGCCTAAGACAGTCAGAGACACATCTAAAGTTCTAGTTGGATGGTCTCCCAGATGTCTCAAAGATGCAATTTACCCAGAACTCCTGCTTGTTGTACAGGCTTAATTTGGGGTCCATCCAATTCACTTATGTAGCATGATTTCCTTTAGACTGGTTTCAAAGAGTCTACGCTAGGAGCAGAGGAAAGTGCATAATGCATATCCAGACAAATCTAAACTAGTCTTTTTCTAGAAATTTCAGCCTTCTAAATCTCAGTTCAGCCCAAATTTTCATTTTTAAAGTAAAGACTGTTATAAGAGAAAAGGAAGGGCATTACATAATAACCATGGGATCAGTCCAAGAAGACACCACAAGTGTAAACATATATGCGCCCAATACAGGAGCACCTCAGTATAGAAGGCAAATGATTACAGGCAGAAAAGGAGAAACGGACAGTAACACAATAATAGTGGGACCTCAACACTTTACTGACATCCACAGACAGATCATCCACATGGAAAACCTAAGGAAGTACGAGCCTTAAATGGTACATTAGACTAGGTGGACATAATTGGTGATTATGGAGTACTCCATCCAAAAGCAGCAGAGTACAATTTTGTTTCAAGGCCACATGGAACATTCTCCAGGACTGACCACAGGCTGGGCTACAAAGGGAACCTCGGCAAATTTAAGAAAACTGAAATTCTGTCAAACATCTTTTCTGACCACAACGCTATGAGATCAGAAATCAACTACAAAAAAAAAAAAAAAGAAAGAAAGAAAGAAAGAAAAAAAAGCCCTGCAAAAAACACAAATACAGGGAAACTAAACAACTTGCTACTAAATGGCCAGTGGATCAGTGAAGAAGTCACAGAGGAAATAAAAATACCCAAAGACAAATGAAAACGAAAACACAACAATCTAAAAACCTGTGGGACTCAGCAAAAGCAGTGTGAAGAGGGAAGTTCATAGAGATATGAGCTTACCTCCAGAAACAATAAAAATCTGAAATAAACAACTTAACCTTACATCTCAGTGGACAGGAGTTTAAGCAAACTCCAGGAGACGGTGAAGGACGGGGAAGCACAGCGTGCTGCGGCTCATGGGGTCACAAAGGGTCGGACGTGGCCGAGCTACTGAACGACAACCACCTTACACCCAAAGCAGCTAGAGACAGAACAAAATACCCCCAGAGTTGGTAGAAGGAAAGCAATCATAAAGACCAGAGCAGAAATAAACAAAATAGAGGCTAAGGAAACAACAGAAAAGATCAGTGAAACCAAAAGCCGGTTCTTTGAACAGATAAACAAAACCTATACACCTTTAGCCAGATTCATTGAGTTAGAAAGGGAGGGGGTCCAAGGCAATAAAATCAGAAATGCAAAAGAAGAAGTTACAACTGACTCCACTGAAACACAGGCCACCATGAGACTACTACAAGAAACTACATTTTTACTGTTATAAAAGTCTTATTTTCTCAAACACCTTTGATACCGTGAAACTCCCTTGGGGGTGGGGAGGGTAGAATGTGCCACAGGCTTCTAAAGACTGTTATGTGCTATAGCGTTATGTTTTAATTACTTTTCCCTAAGAATTAGAAGATAAAATGACTTCTGTGAGATAGCATAATGATACATTAATTCAACCTTGTATATCACAAGCTGCTCTAAATTTAACATACTTAAAATGCATTGCTTCTGGAGAAAGTTCTGTATTTTCTTTAAATATAGTTCACATGCAGATTTAAGTATCTTTCATTTCATGCAAATGTTCATTAATGCGTTTATATTTCATAATATTTGGACAGCTTCATTCTGGCATTTTCTTACTCGAGTAACTTTCTGTTTTCTGCAGTTAATCTATGTAAATTAAAGTTTATATCAGTCTTATATAGGCACATAAGATGAGATCTAGAAAGCTGGAGACCAAAGAGTCATCTTCTGATACCCTGCCGGGAACCAGTGACACAGCTAGCATCTAACTTCTTTTGACTGAATCCATCCACCCCAGGTTTCTTCTACTTCAAGGGTTCAGACACACCACCTCTGAGGCTTTCTCTATGTCCGCCATGGTATCTGAACACTCCCAGACTTATCCCTAGCTTAGAAGTCAGAACCAGCTGGATGTTTTTGCAGTGGCTTATCCTCGTCTGGGCTTCCCCAGTGGCTCATGGTAAAGAACGTGCCTGCCAATGCAGGAGACACAAGATACGCGGGTTTAATCCCTGGGTCAGGAAGATCCCCTAGAGGAGGGCAGGGCAACCCACTCCAGTATTCTTGTCTGGAGAATCCCCATGGACAGAGGAGCCTGGTGGGCTATAGTCCATGGGGTAGCAAAGAGTCGGACACGACTGAAATGACTCAGCACACAGCACATCGTCATCTGTCCTGAGAAGTCTCACCCCTAGAGACACATGAGGCAGGCCAGGCCTCAGATCAGCCAGACTGCCTCCAATCCAGCCCAGCAGATGGGCACAGGCACACAACTTTTCAGAGGAAGAAATGTGAGTTTCTCCGCACAGGGAGGGCACACTCGGGGGTCGTGGGGGTGGAGGCGGGGCATGGCCATGTATGATTGATACCATACACCATGTTGATGAAACAGGCCCTCAAGTTAAAAGCATAATTCTAAAAGAAGACTTTTGCTTTCAAAATGTGTCCTACCAAGTATATGTAATTGTTGCATTGGGCTTCCCTGGTGGCTCAGAGGGCAAAGAATCTGCCTGCAATGAGGGAGACCAGGGTTTGATCCCTGGGTCAGGAAGACTTCCTGGAAAAGAGAATGGCTACCCACCCGGGTATTCTTGCCTGGAGAATTCCACAGACAGAGGTGCCTGGTAGGCTACAGTCCATGGGGTCACAGAGGGTCGGACACAATAGCACCCAAGGCATATGCATATATCTATTTCACATAAATACCCTGGCTCTCCCTACTGCCGGCTCCGTCCCTGCCTGGCTCCCCCTCCCTCTGGCTGGGAGGCTGGAGTGGGTCTGCCCTGCAGTCACCATGGCAACAGGACACATTCACACTGAGTTTGGGGATTCTGGCTTTTCCTGCCCCACTCGGTAGCCAAAACACACCACAGCAGGCAGATTTTTTTCAAAAGTCTGTCTGTTCCCAGCCTTCCTTTCAGGGTCAAGACCAGTTGTTTACTTCAGGCACATGGTCTTATCAGAAACAAGCAGCTACATTTTAATCCGCAACCCATCAAGCTGATTGAAGTGTGCACCTCACCTCCAGCATCAGCTGGGTGAATTCTTCATTACTGAGGAACGAAGGCTTCCAGTCCGGCTGAATGTCACAGACTTCCGTTTGCGCTGAGACTTCTAAAAAAAGAACACAAACAAGCTTTTAGATGAAAAGACACCTAGAAACTGGAATTAGGAAATGACACACGTGTTATTTTTATGCAATTTCGTATAAATGTGTAGTTTAATAAAAGAAGCTGATGTAAGGGCACATGCTACTCTGATTTCCATGGATGGGGTACATTGGAGATAACGGACTCTTGCTGTTTTCTCCTTTTGACTTTTAATGAGGTCTCTGGGCAGAGAGCACCCCACCCTCTGCACTGGGTGTAGTGCCTGTGATTAGCACGTGGCACCTCGCCCTTGAATTTCACATGACAAAGCCCATCATCAGCGGCTGGAGTTTGGTAGTTGCCACCTGGGTTTTCCTGGTGGCTCAGTTGGTAAAGAATTCACCTGCAGCACAGGAGACGGGGGTTCCATCCCGGAGTGGAGAAGATCCCCAAGAGAAGGAAAGGGCAACCCACTCCGGTTATCAAGGCAACAGGAACAAGGACAGGGTAGAGGCGCATGTCCTTAAGCTGCTTCTTCATGGTCAAGGCGAAACAAAATACTTTAGCAAGCTGGGGTTTTAAAAATTCCAGAAACATCTTAGGGAACAAAGTTCCTAACCTACTGCATTTGTGCAGATTGCAATGTATGTTTCAGCATTTCCAGTTACTGAAGTATAATTCGTTATACAAATACATGCTGCTTATTAGTTGCTTTGAAGGCCAGAATTTATTTTTCCTAAAACTTTCTGGGGTTAATCTGTACTTTGCCTGTTTCAAGTAACTACCTTGTTCGCAAGACATTATTCGTATTTGTAAATCTAATAGTCACTGGTCTACACAGGACTCTGTAAACACTCTAGTTTTCCTGCCCTTTTGTGGGTTTTTTTTTCCCTTTATAATAGTTGATTGACATTTTTTTTTCCTATTCATGATTTAGAAGAATTTCTTTCTGCTTTACAACTTGGCAATTTTGTGTAAATTCTTAGCATTTTTGTCAAGTTTGGGAAAACACCAATCAAGTTTCTTTCTTAGAAGAACTGTAAAATTTCAGGGCATTTCACCTTTTCTTTTGTTGTTCACTGACTAACCTACAATGCTCTTGCTTTGTTTTTTAATTTTTATATAATTTTCTAAAGTTTTTTTTTTAAATGTGGACCATTTTTAAAGACTTTACTGAATTTGTTACAATATTACTTCTGTTTATGTTTTGGTTTTTTGACTATAAGGTGTGTAGGATCTTAGCTCCCCGACCAGGGATGGACCCCACACCGACTGCACTGGAAGCTAATGTCTTAACTACTGGACTACCAGGGAAGTCCCTAACTTTTATACAATTTTTAAAGGTTACTTTCCCCTTACAGTTATTTTAAAATATTGGCTATATTCCACACGTTGTACAACACATCCCTGAGCCTGCCCCACACCCAACGGTTTGAACCTCTCATACCCCCACCCCTATATTGTCTGCCCCATCACTGCTAACCACCAGTTCGGTCTCTACATCTGTGAGCCTGCTTCTTTCTTGTTATTTTCACTAGTTTGTTGTATTTTTTAAGACTCTCTATATGAGTGATATCATACAGTATTTCTCTTTCTCCATCTGAATTATTTCACCTAGCATAACGCCCTCCAAGTCCATCCATATCGCTGTGTGCTAACTCGCTTCAATACTGTCCGACTCTTTGCAGCCTTATGGACTGTAGCCTGCCAGGATCCTCTGTCCATGGGATTCTCCAGGCAAGAATACTAGAGTGGGTTGCCATGCCCTCTGCCACAGGATCTTCCCGACCCAGGGCTCGAACCCACATCTCCAACATCTCCTGCATTGGCAGGTGGGTTCTTTACCACTAGCACCACCTGGGAAGCCCCCAAATTGCTGCAAGTGGTATTAGTTCATTCTTTTTTATGGCTAAGTAATCACCTGCTGTGTATATGTGCCACATGTTCTTTATTCATTCATCTGTCAATGAACACTTAGGTAGTTTCCAGGGATTCTAGCTCCCTGACCAGGGGTTAAACCTGAAACTTTTAGAAGGCAAAGTCTTAACCACTGGACTGCCAGGGAAATCCCAAGAATTCAGTGTTATAATCAAATCTCTGATTTTTCTCTGAGATGGCAGAGAAATAGAATGGGGAGACCACTTTCACAATAGAATGGGAAAGACTAGAGATCTCTTCAAGAAATCTCTTCAAGAAAATTAGAGATACCAAGAGAACATTTCATGCAAAGATGGGCACAATAAAGCACAGAAACGGTATGGACACAACAGGAGCAGAAGATATTAAGAAGAGGTGGCAAGAACACACAGAAGAACTATACAAAAAAGATCTTCATGACCCAGATAACCACAATGGTGTGATCACTCACTTACAGCCAGACATCTTGGAATGTGAAGTAAGTGGGTCCTAGGAAACATCACCACGAACAAAGCTAGTGGAGGTGATGGAATTCCAGTTGAGCTATTTCAAATCCTAAATGATGCTGTGAAAGTGCTGCACTCAATATGTCAGCAAATTTGGAAAACTCAGCAGTGGCCACAGGACTGGAAAAGGTTAGTTTTCATTCCAATCCCTAAGAAAGGTAATGCCAAAGAATGCTCAAACTATGGCACAATTGCACTCATCTCAAACACTATCTCAAAGCAATGCTCAAAATTCTCCAAGCCAGGGTTCAACAGTATGTGAACCATGAACTACCAGATATTCAAACTGGATTTAGAAAAGGCAGAGGAACCAGAGATCAAATTGCCAACATCTGATGAATCATCGATAAAGCAAGAGTTCCAGAAAAACATCTATTTCTGCTTTATTGACTATGCCAAAACCTTTGATTGTGTGGATCACAATAAACTGCAGAAAATCCTTAAAGAGATGGGAATACCAGACCACCTGACCTGCCTCCTGAGAAATCTGTATGCAGGTCAAGAAGCTATAGTTAGAACTGGACATGGAACAACAGACTGGTTCCAAATCAGGAAAGGAGTACGTCAAGGCTATATAGTGTAACCCTGCTTATTTAACTTATATGCAGAGTACATCATGAGAAATGCCAGGCTGGATGAAGCACAAGCTGGAATCCAGATTGCCGGGAGAAATATCAATAACCTCAGATATGCAGATGACACCACCCTTATGGCAGAAAGTGAAGAAGAACTAAAGAGCCTCTTGATGAAAGTGAAAGAGGAGAGTGAAAAAGTTGGCTTAAAACTCAATATTCAGAAAACTAAGATCATGGCATCAGTTCCCATCACTTCACGGCAAATAGATGGGGAAACAGTGGCAGACTTTATTTTTGGGGGCTCCAAAATCAGTGCAGATGGTGACTGCAGCCATGAAATTAAAAGACACTTGCTGCTTGGAAGAAAAACTATGATCAACCTAGATAGCATATTAAAAAGCAGAGACATTACTTTGCCAACAAAGGTCTGTCTAGTCAAAGCTATGGTTTTTCCAGTAGTCATGTATGGATGTGAGAGTTGGAACATGAAGAAAGCTGAGCGCTGAAGAACTGATGCTTTTGAACTGTGGTGTTGGAGAAGACTCTTGAGAGTCCTTTGGACTGCAAGGGGATGCAACCAGTCAATCCTAAAGGAAATCAGTTCTGAATATTCACTGGAGGGACTGATGTTGAAGCTGAAACTCCAATACTTTGGCCACCTGATGCTAAGAACTGATTCATTTGAAAAGACCCTGATGCTGGGAGAGATTGAAGGCAAGTGGAGAAGAGGAAAAACATTTAAAAAATAAAAAGGAGAACGGGGGTGACAGAGGATGAGAAGATTGGATGGCATCACCGATGCGATGGACATGAATCTGAGTAAGCTCTGAGAGTTGGTGATGGACAGGGAAGCCTGGCGTGCTGCAGTCCATTGGGTTGCAAAGAGTCAGATACGACTGAGCGACTAAACTGACTGAACTGAATTGAGTCTTCACTGGCATTTGATGGGACCAACATTACAAGCTGTAGGTGACTGGGCAGGATGAGCAGAGCAATATGGTCCAAGTGGCTTCTAAATAGCAAGGGAAATACAGCCATATGGGAGCAAGTTTTAAGGGAAGCATTGCAATTAACAGTGGAGCCCCCAAAGCCTACCATCCCGTAGGTTGTACTTATGCCCTAGAACACCTGCCTTCCAATAGCTCGTGCTCCACAGGAACCAGCAGGACAATGTTGGGCTATATATGGTCAAGGAAGAGTCTAGAAAATGGGGCAGAAAGTAGGCTGGTGGGGTAACTATCACCCTGCCCAACAGGGACATGTCTCCTTGCTCTGCTGTCCTCCCTACCCCACCCCCGCCTTCTAAGGCAGACATCTGGAAGGCCAAGGGTGAGGACTGGGATTTGATGTTGGGAGAAGATGCCATCAAGCTAGCTGAGACTCACACAGGAAGAAGAAAGCACACAGGTCAGCCTGGTCCTGTGGAAGGGACAGATGGCCGTGAAGAAGGCTGCTCACTACACCCTACTATTGACATAACTTAGAGGCGTCTCTTCTGTAATAGCTCTGGCAACCCACTCCAGTCTTCTTGCCTGGGAAATCTCATGGACAGAGGAGTCTGGTGGGCTATAGTCCATGAGGTCACAAAGAGTTGGACGTGACTTAGTGACTGAGCATGCTCCTGTAACAGATACTGATGACACATTTCCCGATGGAGAAACATGGTCAGATGCTCATTTTGATTTGGGATTACTTCCAGAAGTATGCATTCCAGGGTCAAGGTTTATCTCCCAAACTGAGAAAACAGGGATGCTTGGCAGATGATGGATGAAAGAGCTAAATTATTTTAATGACTACCTGCATAGCTCAAGTATCACGTGGTCTCCCTTCAGGATGAAGGCAGAAAGCACACCAAAATCCACAGTTCTGGGCCTCCTTGGTGGCCCAGTGGTTACAAGTCTGCCTGCCAATGCAGGAGACATGGGTTTGATCCCCGATCCAGGAAGATCTCACATGCCATGGAGCAATTAAGCCTGTGCATATCAACTACTGGAGAAGGAAATGGCAACCCATTCCAGTATCCTTGC